TTAGTGGGATAACCAAAAAAAAAAAGTTGGCAAAATTTTAATGGATGGAAGGAGTAGTAATTAAGAGTATTGATAAATCTTATAAAAATTCATATAAATTTTAAAAACAATGTAATAATGATATAAAAATAGCATACATGTAAAAATAGATAAATGATTTAAAATGTTTTTATACAAAAAAAGTCAGAAACTTAAAAAATAAATTAAAAATGTAAAAATAGAAAAGATAAATATTAAAACCTTTTAAATAGATGTAGAATATACAAATAACTTCAAAAAACATTAACTTTGACATTCTAAATTTCTTTTCACAATTTTTATCTATATTTTTTCAAAGTTTAACATTTTTTAAATTCTTTGATATGAAAATTTGCAATTACAAGTCAAAAACTGAATAAATGGCCGAATATATCAATTTTTGAATGTAAGTGTACCTATGTACTCCGTAATACTTTTTAGTACATGTGCTTAAGTGATGATTTGAGAATAGTAAAAGAGTTTATTTGATCATTTTCCCTTTATTTTTTATTAAAAATGTAAAAGGAAAGAAAATAACGATATGTAATCATTCATAATTATTCAGAAAAAAAAAACAAAAAAGAGTTACTTATAATAAATTAATTAATGTTTTAATAATTTGATATGTAAAAAATATTTTGTACTCCGTATATCTTACTGGTAGTGCTGGAATGAATGGAAAAGGCAATATTAATAGAATTTATACAATCTATTTTCATATAAATAAAATCTATATTTAAATTTTTAGACAGTGCCAGGTGTGATCCCAACTTTTTAATTTATTGTTCAATTTTGGTCGAGGCAACTACATATGAGCACATGGAGTACATGATAATAAGACAAAAAAGATGTGTACCCGCCCTTATACTCACATTTTAACCGTCATGTCTATGAAGGTATTTTTGTCTGTGAATCTCGTTCACAGACAAAATACGTCTTATTTTGTGTACAGACAGAATAAGACAAATTTTAAACATATTTTATCACTAAACAAAAAAACCTTCGTGGACATGATGTTGGGTATAAGAATTATTGTAATAAGAAAGAGTTTTGTTAGAGGTATCCAAAATGTACCCCATTTTTACTCCACCCCTAATGTGTGGTCATAAATGGGCCAATTGATTTATGTGATGTCACTTAAATGAATTGACACATTTATATCACATATTGGCACATGGGAGGTGAGATAAAAATGAGGTACATCTTAGGGTAATTTTAGCATTTCTGAATAAGAAATGACACTAGGCTGTAATGACTAATGAGTTCGTATACCATACAATTGTCCCACGGTGCGCATGTTATATCATCCCAAATTGCACTGGGCTTTATTATTTTTTATTTCTCCTTTTCTTAAAAATGTTAATAATATTTTTATTTTTGATCCGATTTTTATAAAGTTTATATCAATTTTTTTTATTTTTCATGATCTTTCAAATGAGACCAATATTGCCTGTGTAATTTTAACATATTAACATTTGCTTGTAAAAATATGTAACTTTACGTGTTAAAATATGTAACTCACGTTCAGACAGGTCAAATGCAACTCGTGTGTATAAATATGTAACTCGCGTGTATAAATATGTAAATTTACGTGTAAAAATATGTAACTTGACGTGTAAATATATGTAACTCACGTTCAGACAGGTCAAATGCAACTCATGTGTATATATGTAACTCGCGTGTAGAAATATGTAACTTTACATGTAAAAATATGTAACTTCACATATAAAAATATGTAACTCACATGTATAAATACCTAATACAATAAATTTTTTATATACACAATTTTAAGATAAATTGTGATTTACATAATTATTTTTCTGTATTAAATTTAGTTTGGTTTTCCTTATAATCAATAATCATTTATATAATAGTTCCATAATTTGTTAAAATTACATAAGCAATATTGATCTTATTTGATAGACCATGAAAAAAAAAATTAATATAAAATTTATAAAATCGGATATGAAATAAAAAAGTTATTACAATTTTTAACAATAAAAGGAATAAAGTTTTCCTTAAAGGGTTTTTGTAAGTTTTATACTCCGTTCTCTCTCTAGGGTTACCCACCGGTAACGCCTAGGCAATTCCGCTGCTGCCGGTTCCTCACTAGGTTTGCGTCGGGAGCCGTGTGCAGCGAGAGTTTCTTCTTCCAAGCTTCGTTCGCGAAGCATCATTGTGCTAATTTGGTTGGGATTTTTTTGATTTCTTCTTCGAGTTTCGTTCGGACGATTGCTGGACTAAATTGCTTGGGGAGTAAAATCGGTCACCGATTTTACCGAGAGAAAGAAGGAGAAGGGTTGATTGCATGGAAAGCGTGGTGGACAAGTATAAACGGATGGCTCTGGCGGCGGAGGAGGATGACCTGGACCTTGACGATACGGAGGAGGGAGAGGTGCCGAAGGAGGAGAAAAAGCCGGGTTTCCCAGTGGTCGGGGTTCTGTTGACGGACCGTAAGGTCCGTTTTCCGGCGATCAAGGAGATGTTGGCGTCGCTATTGAGACCAGGAAAAGGGCTATCAGTTAAAGAAGTCGGGGAGAAAAGGTATCTCTTTACTTTTATCACCGTTTAGATATGAACCGTGTCTTGGATGGAGGACCATGGCAATTTGAGAAAAATTTATTGGTATTAAAAGAGGTTAAACTGATGATATCCCTCACAAAATTGTCTTGAATGAAGCAGACTTCTGGGTTCAGGTTCATAATTTGCCTTATAGTCTGGTTAATTTAGGTACAACTCAGAAAGTTAGTAATTTGATAGGTAGGTTTATAAAATATGATGATAACCAGAATAGTGACAAGTGGGAGGCCTATATGAGAATACGTGTGTATGAATGTGGAGAAAGTTCTGAAAAGAGGTACAAACCTGAAGAAGGATGGCAAAAGTTACTAGGTTGATTTTAAATATGAGAAGTTGCCAAACTTCTGTTTTATTTGTGGTCTAATTGGACACTCAGACAAATTCTGTCACTTGATCTATGAGGAAGATCTAGTGATGGAGAAAAAGTTTGGAGTTCATCTTAGAGCAGGTAGTGGAGGGAAGACGAGTCTTACGGGAGGCAACCAATGGTTACTGGAGGGTTCATCGAGCTCTGGCAGGGATCATAAGTATTGGGAGGGAGCTAAATGAGAGGATAGGGTGAGAGAAAGGAGGAAGGATATGGGGGCTGAGTCAAAACAGAGTATAACAAAGGACGCAAGAGCCGAGAATCAGGAAGAAGCATCAGGAGGAGGCGGGCTTCGAGCTGTAGGCCCGTCTAAGGAAATTCAGAGCCGGAAGCAAGGAATCTTGATGAGGATACAGAGCAAGCAGATCGGGAGGCAGACTTTTATTTTTTATTTTAGCTTTTGTTATTTCTCAGACTTTTCAGCATGTTTTTTATTTGGTTTAGCTGTTGTTTTTCTTGGTTGTAAGACATTGGATTTGGATGTGGGTGACATTGGAATTGGGGTAACCGTTTATGGCTCATGTGCGCTCATTAATGGATTAACGAGTTATATTGCTTCTCATGAGGTGATTAACTCTGAGTCTGATTCACGGAAAGCGATTGCCAGGATTCTATTTGTCGGATTACCCATCATCTGAATGTTTAGATTTCAATTTAAGCCAAATTCATCCAAAAAACTATAAAAGGAATAAAAAAGGGAGAACTATCAAATAAGCCCTCGAACTTTCATAAAAAGTGCAAATAAGCCCTTTTATAGGAGGCTCTGTCCGGCCGTCGCTATTTGAAGCGGTTTCCGGTGGAATTGTTTTATGAATTTTTTTTAACATCTTCTTCATTAAGTCTAGTTTACTCATATCAAATTTCAGATACAAATTCAATCGGTAAGGCAGTCAAATGAATTTTTGAAGATAACTATGCAGTTAGACAGCGCAGTATATTTCAGAAAATCATTTGACTGTCTTCTAGATTGAATTTTTAGCTGAAATTTGGTATGAGTAAACTAGACTCAATGAAGAAGATGCTCAAAAAATTTCATCAAAATCTTCCACCGGAAAACACCTCAAATGGCGACATCAGGACAAAGCATCCTATAAAAGGGCTTATTTGCATTTTTTACGAAAGTTCGGAGGTATATTTGATAGTTTAGAAATTAGTTCAAATAGGACTAAAACTATGACAAAAACCTAAAATAGGACTTGTTATGTTTTTATTCCAAAATAGGACCATATGAGTCCTATTGGAAACATACCTATTTTTGCATTCCATTCTTACCCTTACATTAAATATGAATTAAAAATAGTCAAAAGCCATAATTAAATGTTTAATTCATAATAAATTCGAAAAAATTTCAAAAATTCGTAGAAATATAATTAAAAAATTTATAAAATTTTTATAAAATAAAAAATTCAAAAACTTATTTTTTTAAAAATAATTTTATTTTTAAAAAAATTAATAAAAAATAGTAAAACTCCGTAAAAAAAATTTAAAAAAATATGGATGCCTTTCCCACCGCCTGTACTACCTCCCAGCACCACCACCTCCGGCCGATGAAAAAAATGCCATTTTCCCAGAAAAATGTCATTTTTTTTCTGAAAATGCCAAAAAAGTGGCATATTTCTCTTTTCGAATGCCAACATTTTCATTTTTTCTGCCATAAATATGGCATTCGTAATGAACTTGACATTTTTTCCCCCTGGTGACTGGAGGTGGTGGTGCTGAGGCAGCAGAGGCGGCGACGATTTTTTTTTTTGAATTTTTATTTTTTTTTATTTTTTTTTAATTTTATTAATTTTTTGAAAAAAAAATAATTAAATTTTTAGTATCGAATTGTTTTTCTTAATTTTTTTTAGTATTTTTTACGAATTATTATTATTTTTTATTATTTTATTAGGAATTAAAACATTTTAATAGCTATAAGGGTATAATTGTCCAAGGTACACATAATTAGTCCTATGCAAACATAGTTTATTTTTTGGTCCTATTTGTGAAAAGTGAATACTTTTAGTCTTATTTTGATAATTAACTCTTGATAGTTCTCCCGATAAAAAATAATGGAAAGAGCCACAATACTCCGTAGTGAGGAAGATATCTTTCTCCTCCGTCGAACTCTCTATTGCGGCCAAAGTACTTACTTGGTTAAAATGCGAATGAACATAGGCTTCCTCGTCGGCACTTTTGGTGTCCTGTTCCTCCCCCACGCTGCCTACTACACGATCCAGTGTATCCCCAATTTCTTCAATCCACCCTATACTCACATTAGGGTTTATTTCTTTCCCAATAGATAAGAATCAACTACATAAATCTCATTTTCTGCGCTTTCTTTATCAATTTTGAAATGCAGACAAGGCTTTGCTCAAGATCACCCAGGAAGAGTTCTCTGGTCCTCCCTTTGACGTAAACTCCTCCACCTTTCTCTTTTGAGTAATTCTTTTACAAATTTCAATATTTTGCTTTTCACTTGCAGGTGGTTATTAAGTTGATTATAGGGTTATTATTGTGCATGTGGGCCGCCCTCACAGTGCCCGGGAAGTTTTTGTCTATTCATCCTCAATCGGATGAGAACAGGTTTGTCTCTAGCTCTCTTTGTAAGTATTGTTTATGAATTGCTGGTATGAATTTTTATGTGTTAGATTGTAGAGTAAGGATGTTTTTATTTGGACTGTTTTCAATCCCAGACCAGACTTTGACGGTTATAAAATACACAGAGACGTGACATTTATCAGACCAAACCAGAAAATTTCAGTCCAAGTAAAAACTTTCTAACCTCATCTTGCTTTTATGACCAGTGAAACAGTTGTTCTTTTGGGTCATATTTTGATTTGAGATTTTCCAAAATTCTTTGTTACTTGGGAGTTCGGACAAGTAGTGATTTTGAAAGGTTTCTATTTGGTTAAGATCTTCTAATGTATGTTACTTTCACTTAATCGCCCGTTATTTCTATTTAAATGTTTACTTTTAGTGATGATATTGACTAGGCCTTCAAAAGTCTTCCCCTCCAAAACTCTCCTTCCAAAGACTATTAGGGAGTATTACTCTTGTCACAATTCTTGATGGTGTTGGATGAGTAACTAGAAAGGAAAGAGATATATTCCGACTCCATTTGTCGGACACACCCATCTACACCATTTTCCCTTGGAGTGGAAAGTGGAAGAAAAGTTGTTGGGAATTGAATACACTTTTTTATCTCATACTACTTAGATAAAGTTGATGCGAGATAAAAATAGTATGAGTGTTTTTTAACACAATACCTTATATGAAGTTGATGCCCCACTATCCCGCATTGTGGGGCTTCTTAGATTGAAGCGGGGAAAATGGACTAGTATGATTTTTAACACAATTCTTAGTATATTATCTAAGAAGCCCCACAATATACTAGTATGATTTATAACACAATACCTTATATGAAGTTGATGCTCCACACAATACCTTAAGGAAAAAGTATCTAAGAAGCCCCACAATTGAATAATACTAATATGAACTCCACACTACCCCGCATCAGAGTATTTTTGTGTGTGAGTAGTTAATTTTGTGGGGCTTCTTAGATACTTTTTCCTTTAAAGCGTGAGGATATAAACTGTTTAAATTTATCAAAAGTGTAGAAAGTAAAGAAAATGGTGGAGAATAGATATTAGCGGATGACATCATAAATTTATCTAATGGTTCATGTCTTGGTTTAAAAAGCGCGCCTTAGGCGCCCAAAGGCGCAAGGCGCCACTGGGCGATGGTTTTATCACATCCATAAGTCCCAGACGCAGCAGATGCTAGTAGGCGCGCCTTATACCTCGCTTTTTGCTTTGCGCCTCTCAGAGGCTTCCGCCTCCATCGCCTCTTGGATGGTGTCCGCTCATGTGTTGTATAAGCCTTTCGGTGATTTACTGTTTTGCTCCTTTTGGTGAATTATATTGGGATTCACAGAATAGTCGTAGGTCTAATATTCAAGCTCTAAGTCGTCTCTCTGACTCTAAATCGCAGGTATATTTTTTTTGTTCCCTTCTACTTTTTATTCTCTTTTTGTCTTAATTTTTTACATATATAAATATTGTAATTTATTTAAATGTATAACCATATAACAATCTGCCTTAAACCCTAATCTCAATCAGAAAGGTTATAAATCTTAAATAATTATAAACATGGTTTTTAGCATCAAATTGTATAAATTTGTACTTTTAATAGTTCAATAAAATTTAATATTAACCATGTATTTTATGAAAGTTTATAAGTATTATATAAAAATTATAAATGAAAGCTTATTATTAATAATAATTTATTATATTTATTATATAAGTTTTTATTAAAACATTAACTTTATAAATAAATGTTTAGTAAAACAATTTCTATTAATTGTTAAAAAATTACTATTAACAGTTTCTAACATAAAATTTATTTAAAAAATAACTATTAATTGTGTAATATATATGTGAAACAATTAAATATGACAGTTTTTTGTTATTAACAATTTAATATATAACAGTTTATGACTAATTATTATTTAAAATTTTCTATTAACAATTTATTATATAACAATTTCTTAAGGTGTTTATTAAGATTGTTTAATGGTTTAAGGTATTTTTGTGACGTTATGATTTTTGGGAAGAGTGTTTCATGTAGAAGTAGTATATATATATATATATATATATATATATATATATATATATATATATATATATATATATATATATATATAATCAAAGTGATATTTTGGGAAGAGTGTTTCATGTTCCGTGAGGCGCGCGCCTTCGCGCCTCGGGTAAGTAGACCAAAAATGCCTCATGCCGCCTCGCGCCTTTTTAAACTAAGGTTCATGTATTGAAGGAACACAATTGAGTCATAGAGTGTATTGAAGTTATTGTGTGACACAGAGATGCCTATTGACGCGGTTAGATCTTCATCAGATGCCTTTCGTTTTGGATAATTTAACTAATTATTACTCCGTACTTGTTTCATGATATTCTAGCTTTACTCCTGTTTGTCTCACTACTACTGTTATTCTTTTACTTTTGGTCCTATACTTATTTTTATTCCAGTTTAGGTGCACAACTATGTATTTCTTGTTAGTTTCGTCCTTCTCAGCCCTTTTCTGGCCATTTTTATTTTACATTTTTGGGTTGCTCTTTTGCCAGGTTAGTCATTAAAATGCTCAAAAGTGAAGAGAAAATTATAGTCATGAACCAAAAGTTTAACAAAGTCAAAGTCAGAGACGAACTGTAACAGGCGTATATATACCCTTCCCCCTCAGTGCCTCACAGGGCCAACATTTCTTGGAAGCCAATTAATTACATTTTATTAATGGAATACGCTTTCTAACTTCCAAGTAGTGAATATACTGTATTAAATTGATGGCCCTCTCTGACGTGTAGGGTTGTTGCTCAACCTGAAAATCTGGATTTTATGATTTTCAATCACCGTGGGAAAGCATTTCCTCAGGAAGTAGTTGATTTCAAGTTGAAGCGACACTTCTAGGAAAACTGAGGAAGTCTTGTTCACTTGGGGGTCCTTTACGGTCTCTATAATCAGTTTATTCGGTGATAATGTGAAACTACCACAGCATGAATATATTTTATTTAAGCTTCTTAAGTATTATAATCGCCTCTACGCTTCAACCTTGTGAGAAAGGGAAATGTCTTTTCGCTACATGAGTACATTGGTCTGGAGTTTATACTCTTTCCTCCGGCACCGGAAAGAATGTTGTTTTTCTTTGAAAAGTGGTTTCCTTTTTCTTTTTGTAAAATAAATCAATTTCTGCTTGTCATTACAAAGCTCTTAGATGATAAGTAATTGTTCACTTTTCTAACAAGTTTGTGGTTTTGTTGAGATGGTGAATATGTTTCGTAGTGCAGTCACAATTATTGTAGTTGTTACTTATTATGATATAAATGCATTGAATATGAAAGGTAGAGTAATGTTTCCGTCCAGCCGGATGGACATGACCTTCTGTCTGGCTGCTGCCATTTGGGGTGGTTTCCGGTGGAAGTTTTCGATGATTTTTTTTTATCATGTTCTTCATGAAATGTAAATTATATCCACAAAATTTCAGCTGAAGATTTAATCGGGAAGTCAATTAAATAAAATATTAAAAAACATTATGTCAAACTATACATACAAAAGCGCAGTGTTTTTCAATAATTTATTTAACTGACTTCAATTTTGGAATGAAAGTACACTTCAATTTTGGAATGAAAGGCATATACTTAGGTATGATTTGTTGCGTGAGCATGCTGTTATGATATAAATGAACTTAAGGGATACATATAATATACTGCAAGAGAAGGTGTGCATTGTGTACTGTGTAGTATTGAAAATGTAGTTCAATTGTTATGACTATTGAGCTGTTACAGCGGGGAGAGAAAATACTCCGTATATTTCATTTTATGAGTTACTGGCCTTGTTTAGTTGGTGGCAATAGGGGTTGGGCATGACCTGGTTCAATATTTTGCCGAATCCATACCGGTACCATGACTATTGAAATGGTTTGGTTTGATCTTAAATTTAAACCCGTTCGGGTAGGGGTGGATTCGGGCCGGGCCGGAGTCAGGGCCTAGGCCCGGATGGGCCGGCGGTTCTGGATAGGTGGACCCGGGACCGGCCCGGGTAGCCACCGGGTCCGGGCTGGGCCGGGCCTCGGGCTTGGTTATTTTTTTTTTGCTTACTTACCTATCCCTGACCTCCCCCCCCCTCCCTCACCCCCCCCCCTCCTAAACATCAAGCCCAACCCGGGTGGAGTCCAAAAAAATGAAAAAAACAAAAAAAATCAATCTGGCCCGAACCGGTTCTAGGCCCGACCTCCTTTTTACCAACCCGAGCCCGCCCCGCTCAGCCTAAATAATCGGGCCTTAGACCGGTTTTGGGCCCGAAGAACCGGGCTGGGCCGGTCTCGCACAGTAGCGGCCGGGCCGGTTTCCGGGCCGGGTGGCCCGAACCGAGTCTAGGACTACGTTCGGGTGTTTGGTACGTTTCAATTTTCAAACAGGACGGTACAATGCCATATCAATATCAAACAATGTCAATTTTTCCAAGTGTTTACGAGAATATTAAAGTTTAGCCATCCTACAAAAATTCATACAATTTATCAATTTTTCATTTTTTTATATTTTTTTATTTATCAATTTTTCAACTTTGAACATGGACATCTGATTTTATCACCACTCATATAAGCCGGGTGTTCAAATGTGAATTTAATAAACTCCTCAACTCCTTCAAGAAAATTTGATTGCATTCCGTACAATACCGCATATTTATCATACATCTAAATTCTATTAAGAATTATATTAAATGGGACTAAAACATGGTTAAAACTCCAAATAAGGACTTCAAATTTTAAATTGCCTAAATGGGACTCCACATTACACTTTTGCCCTTCTGCTATTAAAACTCATCTCTCGCCTCCTTCTGCAATTCGTCACTGGCCACGCACATCGACAGCACATCGATGGCCCCTTTCTGCAATCTACGATAAATTCATCGTAGCAGTAGCTCCGCACATCCCTTGACAGCAGCTCCTCCTCCTCCCCCTCCTCCTCCTCCTCCTCCCCCTCCCCCCTCCCCCTCCCCCTCCGCCTCCCCCTCCCCCTCCCCCTCCCCCTCCTCCTCCTCCTCCTCCTCCCCCTCCCCCTCCCCCTCCCCTCCCCCTCCTCCTCCCCCCTCCTCCTCCTCCTCCTCCTCCGTATATGAACTTCCAATCCTCTTCAAATCTGGATCCTCTGTTTTCTTCTTCTTTAGATTTTCAGAAAATGACACTTTTTGAATAAGAGAATGTCATTGTTGTGTCATTATTGATCATTTTTAAAAAATGTCACTTTTATGTCATTGCAGTATTTGAAAATGTCATGTATCTATACGAAATTGTCATTATTGTGTCATTATGCATATATTAAGTGGCATTCTCGCATGTGAAGTGTCATTCCTCATGGAAGTCTACACAGACTCATAAAATCAACACATACAAGGACTTCATTTGAAGGCATTAAAGCAAGGTACATGCTGCTGCATATACAGGGGGGAATTGAAGATAATCATATCTATAATGTGTATCACATTGAATATGCACTTGATAAGAGTATGGGTAAGAAGTACTTAAGTTTTAAAAAGCGAACACAGTGTATGCCCTTGAGGTGACTATGAAGCGTCTAAGAGGCTTAAGCCTTTATTTGTAAAATTGAGGCGTGTGCCTTGAAACATTGGTGGAGGAGCTGATCTTGGAGGCCTGGAATCGCACAGGGCACACCGTTTGCGCAGCAGGGGAATCGCATATCCGCAACAAAGGCCCCTGCGAACTCTTCATTAAGGGCATTTTGGGTAGATTACCTCTTTTTAGTCCTATTTTTATCAAATAAAACATAGTAGTCCTGTTTTTACAATTCTACCTAATTTTAGTCCTATTTAGGTAAATCTCTCAATTCTATTTTGTCTATACATTATGCCTGAATATTATAATAAAAAAATTATACAGGTTAAAAAATCTAAATTATAAACATTACCAACATATGTGGAGTATTATTAATATATTAAATATCAATACAATCATTTCACTAAAATTCCCATAAAATTAACTAATTTCCTTAAATTTCACTAAAATTCACTAAAATTCCCTTAAAATTAACTAACGTCCAATAATTAATATTATTAAACTATAAACATGTACAATACGTTAATGGCATTTAATCCAAAATACTAAAATTAACTAATTCCCTTAAATTTCACTAAAATTCACTAAAATTCCCTTAAAATTAACTAACGTCCAATAATTAATATTATTAAACTATAAACATGCACAATACGTTAATGACATTTAATCCACAATACTAAAATTATCAACATCTTAATCTTATTAATCATGCACATTTAACAATTTACTAAATTAAATAATATGAGCAAATCCAATAATTTGAGCATATATATATACATAATAAACTCATTTAAATTAAATAATACTTAAATTTAACTAATATTATAATTTTTTTACTAATTTACGTAATTCACAATCATAAATCATCATACTTAATTAAGTAATGTTTCAATTAACTAATCCTAATTTAAATCATTATTAATCCCAAATTAGGCCACCTTAACAATAATTGCTAATAAAGAAATCATATACTTATATTTAATCATATATAAAGTCATTTGAATTAAATAATACTTACATTTAACTAATATTAATAATATCATCTACATGTATTTAACTAATTTACGTAATTTTAATTAAATACAACTTAATTAACCCTATGTTTAAATTACACCTACGTTTAACGTAACTAAATTTAAGGAATTTATTTCGTTAATTAATTATGTATTTTATTTAATTACTTAATGCATTTAAATGCATTTAATTTACATTTAACTAATAATATTAACAAAAGTTTAATTAACTAATGTAGCTAATTAATTAATTTAACTAATGTAGCTAAAATGAACCAACTAATTCATACAAAAAATACGTAATTCAAATTACATATCTTGTCTGTATAAACAGGAAAAATGATATGAGATGAGTAGTTTACATCCTTCAATTATATCTGGAATTCTATCTAGAGTAGATGGTGTGATTTTGTTGAATGAAACGGAGGTTGCATATATTAAACTTTTAGTCACGGATGTGTCTGTGACTACATATTTTTTGTACGATTTGTCGGTGAACTTCAAATTTGGAACCGTCCGTGACTAATTTCAAATTTAAAATAAACCCCGCCGGAGGCAAAATTGGGTTGGCCAGAAGACCTTAGTCACGGACTACAACCGTGACTAACTAGTCACGGACCAAATCCGTGAATACGGTCTGTGACCAAATCTGCCTCAGTTTGGTTATATTTTTTACTCTAACATGCTTTTCAGAAGTTCCAGTCACACACATCCACGACTTACGTCACAACCGTTATCGCTAACATCTTTCCCTTTTGATGACATGGATGCTTCATACTTTCCCAATCGGAAAAGGGAATCCCAATAATTGCTTGTACAATTTACAACAACAACTTGTATGGTTACGTTTACTATGCTAAAAGTAACACAACTATCCCACTCTAAAATTGCTTCAATTTTTCTCTACCTTTTCTACTACCCAAGCTTTCATAACTCATCATTCGGTGCTGAGTCGACTATTAATGATGTCAACCACACACGTGTAAATGGGAAAGTCCCATACAAATGAGTCGCCTTAACACTCAAATGTCACTATTAATACTACATTGAGACATTAACCGGTGGTGCGATTATTATGGAAAGTCAATTTATGTGGTTGATATTGATTTAATAAAGTAAGTATAAAGTAAGAATGATGTAGAACTACACAAGCTTAACCAAATTTGATATGTGACAATCTTAGTGGGACGGGCCGAAAAAGAAATTAAAGATGAGATGATCTTAGTGGAACGGAGGAAGTCGTTGTTATTCTCACATTATTTCAAAAAAAAAAACTAGATGCTTCAACTTTAGCAAGAAATAACATCTTAGAAATTCTACAAGTGTCGGAACTTCTGCCCAAAGAACTCCTCGTCACCCAGGTATTATACTCCATTACTCCATTCTGATTTGAAAATTACAAGTACAAAAGAATTGAAGGGGGAACTTGTAAATCTTTATGAATTTTGAGGCAATCCTAGCTACCTCGGTTCGACAGCTCAACTCAGCAAATGGCATGCCCGGCCCCTCCAACAAGAAACATATATACAACCCCGCTGTTATGAAGGTCAACCAAAAAAGAGCACACTCAGCGGCACCAACGCATCTACTATTATGAAGGTCAAGGCTCAATAAGGGCATTTTAGTTCGATGAGTTTATTTTGGGGATTTATCTTGATGATGTGAAATCCTTGATTGTTCAAGATTATTTTCAACTTTTAGTAAACACATTTAATGCATACATGCCTTTTAATTTAGAATGGCTAAAATAGTTGAAAATAA